TTTTGGTCCTGTCAGAGGTGAATATTTTATTGGCATCTAAATACTATAGGTGTTTGAATTCAACTAAACAATCTAACACTGTCTAGCAGTCTATAATATTAGTGGGTTATCCTCAGAAGTTATTGACTTGAGCCTTTTACAGCACATTATATTAATATGGATTTACTTTATATGCCTCATTTATATACTTTTCTGCTGAAAGGTTAAGACCAAGATATAGCAAGACCTATATGCCCAGAAATGTAACTTTTGTATCTGATAAAGTCAGTCAAGTACTCTCAGGATTTATCCTGTAGCCCTGCACCGCCTTTTGTACATCCTTTTGTCAGTGTCTGACATGAGGATGAGTCACAGCCATTGCTTGACCAATTTGCTCTCTGTGAAAGCTTGAGAAAATGTTTTTTCTCTCCATGTGACTCTTCCCAGACTCACTTTAGATCATCGAACACATTCCTCTGTGGCTCCATAATCTTGATCAGAAAATTTGGAGCACAGCTGAGTTACATGTTACAGTACAGGTTCTCCTATGTCCCGAGTCTTCACTGACCTTGAAAAGCTAGGGCCAAAATGTTGGCTAACCATGCAGCCCTTCCTTTTCTCCAATTTTGATCTGCTAATTTAGGTTGTTAACCCTCCAGAAGAGAAGCTAATTATTAACCTGCAATATATGCAGTTCCTGCCAACCATTTTTTCAGATGAGGTCACAATTGATCGCCAAAATCCCAAATTTTTGGGTAACAACATTTGCTAATCATCCACAAGTGTCCGCGCTGCTTGGGGAAGAAGATAAGGAAGCTTTGCATTATTTGAACAGAGTTGAAGTGACAGAATTTGAAGATATTAAATCAGGTTACAGAACAGATTTTTATTTTGATGAAAATCCTTACTTTGAAAATAAAGTTCTCTCCAAAGAATTTCATCTGAATGAGAGTGGTGATCCGTCTTCAAAGTTCACTGAAATCAAATGGAAGTCTGGAAAGGATTTGACGAAATATTCAAGTCAAACGCAGAATAAAGCCAGTAGGAAGAGGCAGCACGAAGAGCCCGAGAGCTTCTTTACCTGATTCACTGATCACTCAGATGCAGGTGCAGATGAGCTAGAAGTCATCAAGGATGACATCTGGCCCAACCCATGCAGTACTATCTGGTTCCTGACATGGATGACGAGGAGGCCGAGGCAGGATGATGATGGGGGGGGGGGGCGGCGCTAGAGGACATCAACGAGGAGGGTGATGAGGATGAGGGCGAGGAAGGCGAGGAGGACAAAGGATAAGATGACTAATTAAATACTGATGGATTCCAACCTTCTTGCTTTTTAAAAAAAAATTTTTTTTTTTTTAAATTTTCTCCAGTCCCTGGGAGCAAGTAGTAGTCTTTTTTCCCCCGCTGTGCTCAGTCGCCCTGTTCTTGAGGTCTTTCTTCTCAAACACCATGGTTCTCGACTTAAATTTGTGGGGAGAAACCTTGCAGAATACAGTGGGACAAGGATCTCCAGCCTTCTGTTCTCAATTCATTTCGATCCCCTCCTGTGTCCACAAACTTTTTGGAATCAACATCACTGTGCTCTGTGGGAAAAAAGAAACCTCTCCAGCCCGCGCTCTTTGCTCTCCTGGAAGCTGGAGGGTGCTCAGCCCCTGTGTAGTAGCGCTTTCTTTTTCTTCTCTGTATATTGGGCTCAGAGATTACAATGTGTCTCTATGTGAATATGGACAGTTAGCATTTACCAATATGTACCTGTCTACTTTCTCTCGTTTAAAAAAAGATTTAAAAAAATTTTAAAAATGGGGTATAGAAGGTCAGCAAAAGGTGGGTTTGAGATGTTTGGGTGGGTTAAGCGGGCATTTGACAACATGGCTTCTCCTTTGGCATGTTTAATTGTGATGTTAACAGACATCCTTGCAGTTTAAGATGACACTTAAGATAAAATTCTCTTAATGATGACTTGAAAAAAAAAGCAATTTCACTATTTTTTGACAAAATTTATTGATTATTTTAGTAAAGACATTCATCTCAGTCATTTCTCTCTCATCTTGACCTTACATTAGTAAATTTCACTATTTTCTCAGAAGAAATGAGGATTTTTTTTTTTTTGAAACAACATCTTCTTATATAGCTGGGGCTGGCCTTGGTCTCAGAGTGATCTTCAGCCTCAAGAGTTCTGGAATTATAGGCAAGTGATACTATGCATTTTTTTTGGAGATAATAGCATACTATATAGTAGCTCAGGCTTGCTTTAGACCTGTAGTGGCAAACCTATGGCATGCATGCCCCAGTCAACTGTTATCACTGAAAGTCCTAAAAGATGTGTGATCACTGCTTTAAACTCACTACATAGCCCACAGTGGCCTCAAACTCCTGGTGATCCTTCTGCTTTAGCTTCCTGAGTGCTAGGATTATAAGTATGCACCATTATAATTCATCTAAGCTTTCAGGAACAAGCAACACGACTGCTCCAAAGTGCTTCTAACACTGCATTTCAGAGCCTCGAACTATATAGGTGCTGGGTTGCTCTGTCTAGTTCAAATGCAGCCAAGCCACTTCCTGGCTACAAGTTAGCAGCTTTGAAGAACTGGTTTTATTTTCCAAGTTTTTCATCTGCCAGTGAAATGAGGGTAAGAGAATACATCTCCCAAACCACCACAAAGACAACAACAAAGGTAAGTGTGGGGCACAATTCCTGAGAATGTGCCCATGTTGGTTCTTCAGCATTCTAAGGGTTGTATAAGATCATGGGTCAGTGAAATCAGCTAGGAAAACCAATCAGCATGGAAGTAAGTCTCTGACAAACTGAAATCAGGGTACTGATAGGCCTCTGCATCCATGTTTTACTTTGTCAATGCTCAAGATTACATTAATCCTATTTTGAAGGAGTAATAAGAAAATTATTTACGGGACTGGGGAGATGGCTCAGTAGAATAAGTGCTTGCCTGACAAGCACAAGGGCCTGAGTTCAATTCCCAGTTCCGCAAAAAAAAAA